CCGCTCCCACCTCAGATACCACATCAGGATCTGACTATTCCGCCTCCGACGAAGAAGGCGGACGTACAATCAAACGCAGACGCAAAAATGCCACAGTAACCGCATCATCTGCGGATACAAGCGGGAAACGCCATACCACTGTTGCCGCTGTGAATGATGGCGATGAAAATGACGGCTCTGCATCATCCTTCTCCGCCGCACACTTTGCCCACCAGCAAACGAATAACGCAACAAAACATTCAAACTGGTTCGACGAAGAAATAGGAGGAGACGAAAAGGACGAGCAGCTGCTTAGCGCGAAGAATCTATTGGGCAATACCAGAAGCAAACCTACCACTGCCAGGTCCACAGCAACATCGAGCGGAGATGTGGACGGCACATATCGTGGCACAGCAAACTACCAATCCTTTATCCAAAAGAATCCCAACGCCCCTTCCAAGCAGTTCGGCCCCATTAAGGCCGCCACAAATATTAGAACTATCACTATCACCGATTATTCCCCGGACGTCTGCAAGGATTACAAGCTGACGGGATACTGTGGGTTCGGGGATGGGTGTAAATTCCTACATGCCCGGGAGGACTACAAGGCGGGCTGGGAGCTGGATCGAGATTGGGAGATTGGGACAAAGGGAAAGAAGGTTGTGGGGCGTACGGTTGCGAGTCGGGCGTCGAAAACCGGAAATGGAGATGGGGATGCGGACGCTAGTGGTGGCGAAGATGAGGATGAACTACTGGAGAACATTCCGTTCGCATGCGTGATTTGCAAAAAGCCATATCAGGAGCCGATTGTTACGAAGTGCGGGCATTACTTCTGCGAGAGTTGTGCGTTACAACGGTATAGGAAGAATCCCTCGTGCGCGGCTTGCGGTGCTGGGACTGGCGGGGTGTTCAATACGGCTAAGAAGTTGAGGAGGTTGCTTGAGAGGAAGAGAGAGCGGATGAGGAGGAGAAAGGAGAAGGCGATGGAGGAAGACGGAGATGTAAGTGAGGATGAGGATGAGGGAGTAGGGGTCGGTGAGAGCGCAAGCGAATAGGGAAGAGTTGATATATTTTGTCATATTCGGTTCGCATGGGGGAATATTTGCTCCTAGCTTTTTTGAATTCAAAAATATGACTTCTTGATACTTTGAATAGTGTATTTCCTATACTATCCATGTGATGA